TTACAAAATACATAAAAATAAACTAAGGATGCTAAATAAAATTAGAAAATAGGCCCACTCCCACCCACCCAATTGCAGATCTTATATGAATACAAAAGATACCACTGAATACAACTGTACAATCAAATGCAAGGGAGGGAAAGACAACTGAAAGAAAGAGGGGAAAGAGTACAGTTGATAACAAGTGGATTGGCAATACTGCAGCTAGTCTATTTTCTGTACGATTAGTCTCCCAATTGCCAATGCTAGCAAAAAATCTCTCTCTCTCTCTCTGGCCTTTTTCTTATAATCTAACAGAAACAGAATGATCTGCAAAAGAAAAGCTCCATGTATTTGGCACACAAATAAAGATAATCAATGGCAGGTTTCCACATGGAGCACATATTTGTTATTAATGTTCGAAAAATCTCTCCATATCCTCTTCTTCCCTTTTTCTATTAGTAGGCATGTTGTAACATTTGTTTATTGGGCTGAAGCAGGTGTTTGTTTTAATGAAGGCAAGTCGCTCCATATTCCCCATGGAGAAGTAGTTACATATGTTGATGACTACAGCATAGGGGTGTCAAACATACAGTCTGTAGTCCCAGTCAGTTAGAAACACAGTATGGTGTGCGATGTTTATCCAAAGAGTGAAGTGTAGAATTCTAGACCAATGTTCTATTGCAGCTGGTGGCAAGGAAGTTGATGTGCAAATAAAGGTCTCAGAGAATGAGGTATAGTGAAAGACTAGATGAAATGTGTGCAGAACTTTTGGCCTATCGTTAGGACTTTGGTCACTACGAAGTGCCTTCAGAGAACGCCTTCACCAGTAAGTTGAGACAGTGTGCAAAATAGGAGATGGAAATGAAGTTGCTGCTGTATCTAGTAAGGGAACCCAGAGTGCACTAAAGGAAATGTAATCAGTGGTGAATGTCGACTAACACAGCACTTTATGGTGTGATGAACTGCAATCTATACTGCTTAGCACAGACATTCCAGTGAGGAAAAAAATATTTGTCCCCAGCCACTCTGGAGGAGTAATAGCCTCTATCTGTTTGTGGAAGGCGTAATCCTGAGAAAAGATGAACAGATCAAATGCCAGCATCTTTGCGCAAGGAATCTTCAAACATTAGGGCTGGGTGTGTTCCTAATAGTATTCTTAGCCCTTCTAGGCCTTTTTTTTTTGGACACACTTTAAAGAGGAACTTCAACAAATACACCATTATAGTTGTGTTGCACAGAATGAGTAACTATTTAATGCTTTAGAAAAGAATATTTGGAAATCACTTTAACTTCATTTAGATTTTATAATCTATTACTTAGGAATGGATCACGGGGGACTTCTCTCTGGAGCCAGAACATTGTACAAACTGGTTATTAAGTCTTATTTCTACATTAAGGCAAGTCTATGACTAAAATTAATTAGAGTATATAATCTTAGAATATTTCCAAAGAGATCTTTTAAGAATGATCAAAGCCTGAAAGGACTGACTTTTAAACTGTGTCCCTTTTCAGCACAATAATATTAAAATAGGAACCTGAAAAACACAAGAAATGTAATTTTACCATTGCAATTTCATGTGTAACACAATACACCCAGAAAAAAGTATGTTTGAATGTAAAAGAAAACTGAACTCCTTTTGCTCAGAACAGCAGTTTATATCATAAGAAGCACTTCATATCAAGTATAAATTGCAAAATGTATTTTAAAATTATATAAGGAACTAAATTAAAAGGATATGAAGGTTGCAAAGTGAAGCACCTTTAGGTTACAAAATACTAGAATTAAGGTTGCTTGTGCAGATGCATTATGATACTTTTAATTACATAGTATTTTTTCCAGAGAATTAACAGTGCCACTCAATGAGTAGCGGTTCAATATTTATTTTTATCCTCATGATTCAACGTGTGGCCCCACGCATTATTTTCAACACAGTATCCAAATGCTGTACTGAACCCAGAATTATTAATTTCCTCGTGGGCTTTTTAATGGTGCTCTCATTGTAGTATCTTAGTTCTTTACAAAAGTTAATGAATTTATCTTCATAACACCTCTGTGAGTTGACAATGTAGTACTCTGCCCATTTTACACATGAAGAACTGAGACACAGAGATTAAAGCCAAAATTGTCATAAGTGTCAAATAATTCTGGGTGCCCAATTTGAGATGCCCAGTTCCTGATTTTTGGAGTATTTAGTATTTTATAGCACTTTATATGTTCAGAGCAGATCTCCCATTGACCTTGGTTGCAGTGACGAGCAGTCAGCCCCTCTGCAAAGTGTTTCAAGTTGGGTACTCAGGCCTGGTCTACACTGGGTGAGGTGGCGGGGGAATCGATCTAAGTTATGCAACTTCAGCTACATGAACAACGTAGCTGAAGTCAATGTACTTAGATCTACTTACCGCACGCGGTGTCTTCACTGTGGTAAGTTGACGGCTGACGCTCCCCCATCGACTCCGCCTACGCTTCACGCTCCAGTGGAGTACTGGAGTCGACGGGAGAGTGCTCAGTGGTCGATTTTTCGCATCTAGGCTAGACGCGATAAATCAATCCCTCGCTGGATCGATCGCTGCCCGTCGATCCAGCACGTAATATAGACATGCCCTCAGAAAATAAGGAGCACACTGTGGATACCTGTGAAAATGTTGGTTTGCGTGACTTGCCCAGCATCACATAGGAACTCTGTCACAGAGGCAGGAATAGAATCCGGTTCTCCAGGGCAGTATTCTACTGCCTTAACCATAATACCATCCTTTCTCATGCCCATCTAAATAGGCAGACTTTTAAAATAAAATAAAATAAATAAAAAATAAACAAACAACACCAAACACCTCTTTCTCTGCTACACAAAGCAGAGAGAAAGAACTCATGACTCTGTACTCACTGCTGAGATAGTCATAAAAGAACTTAGATGGAGTTGGGTCCACAGCTCATTAAGTAACTCATATTAAACATTCAGATCTCTTAGGATCATGCATAAGGCTACAAAAGACATTACTTCACAATGGGTTGTGAAATAGCGCCATAGGAGTACGCACACCCTGAGGGACGAGTGAATCTGTGTTGCCAATACTGGAAAGAGAAATTTCTATTTACAGTCTCACTTCTGTAACTACGTGTTTCAGATTGTAGTCAGTAAACAACTGATCATTACTATGGCATTCTAATATTATCTACAATTGCTACTACTCAGCTGGTTAACACTGAAGTCAGATCCACTTTTTAAAACAACTGTCATTTATTCTTCTAAAGGAAAAATTCCCTTCCCAAAGGAAAAAAATGGGAATTTGGCCTTCTGTTCTTCAGCAATAGTCAGTGTTGATGTCTTATAATAAAATACTAGTATTCAGTACATACTGATGCTAAATCATGTGACAGTAAAATTAATTTTAGACATCCAAGTCTTTATCAGCACAAAACAGGACACTTCCCAGTTATCAAAGAAATAATTAAGCCATTGTGTTTCAATGCACGGGTCACTAGCACACTCTATTTCTACCCTGCCCTTGAGACAGAGAGAAAAAGACCAGACTGAAGAGCAAGGGCTCCTTCCATCTTTTGTAACTCAGAGAAATGGTGTCTTAGATTACAGGACAAGAGCAGACTCCAGGCTCTGCTTTTAATTCTTTGGTGCCAGCAATGTTATTAAGTCTACATTTGTCCAATTTTCATTGGAAAACTAGGCTCCGATCCTGCAAACACTTAAACATGTGTGTAACTAGGCACATGAGTGGTCCCATTCTAGTCAAACTTCAGCGGGACTACTCTTGTGACTATAATTACATACATGCTAAGTCTTTGTAGGGTCTGGTCCTTAGGGTCCATACACAAAAACAATGATAAATAAAATTAAAATGACCAGTCCCAAAAACATCAATTATAGCTGAAGAGCTAGCAACAATTACAGTTAAAGTTGCACAAGCAATTCCATTGCAACCCCTTGATTTCAGTCACCATTAGTTTTCTGAAAATGCCAAATATTGAACTTAAATTTTCTAGATATGGTTCCTGTCTGAAGTGAATATTTCTGGAAAATTAGAGCAAAAATGGTCCAGCCATTTTCCAACTTTTATTGAATAGTACTAGCATTGACACAGATGGGAGCAATAAGTTTAAATTTAGCAGGCAAATAGTTCTCTTAAAAATCACAAGAAACTTAACTACACATTTACATATCTGATTAATAAAAAATGCTAACTAGGAGCCTGACTAGCCAGACAAGCGGCTGAAGTTCCTTCATTTGTTACTGTAGAGAAGAAGAAACAGAGGTGGTCAAGCCCCTCCTCCCTTATGTAACTTGCGGTGCTGAACATTTAGTGCCACAAGATGGCTCTTGTCCTCTGGAATGGTGGTTGAAGCATGAAGGGACATATGAATCTTTAGCGCATCTGTCACGTAAATATCTTGCGACGCCAGTTACAACAGTGCCATGTGAACGCCTGTTCTCACTTTCAGGTGACATTGTAAACAAGAAGCAGGCACCATTATCTCCTGCAAATGTAACCAAACTTGTTTGTATGAGCAACTGGCTGAAGTAGGACTGAGTGGACTTGCAGGCTCGAAAGTTTTACATTGTTTTATTTTTGAATGCAGTTATTTTTTTTGGAACATAATTATACATTTGTAAGTTCAACTTTCATGATAAAAAGATTGCACTACAGTACTTGTATTCGGTGAATTGAAATGTACTATTTCTTTTGTTTTTTACAGTGCAAATATTTGTATTCAAAAATAAATACAAGGTGAGCACTGTACACTTTGTATTCTGTGTTGTAATGGAAATCAATATATTTGAAAATGTAGAAAACATCCAAAAATATTTAAATAAATGGTATTCTATTATTGTTTAACAGTGCGATTAATCGTGATTACTTTTTTTAATCGCTTGACAGCCCTAATATTTAGATTATGCTATTCAAACTAACCTAAGTGGGGTTTATGGAGAGAGGAATGGTTTATAGATTTGTACTTGTTTATTATTATTATAAAATGACAGTATAAAAACTGAACTTTTTTTTACCTTTAAATATTCCTCGTTTCCATGCAGATACATTCAGAGTGTAAGCGGCTGTGTCATCAGCTTCTACAGTGAGGTTTGGAATACCAGCCACCATTGGAAGATCTGAAGTCACCTAGGAGGACAGATTGCACACACAAAAATCAAATACATCCTTTCTAACAGCTTTGAAAAGTAACATAAGGTATAAACAATATTGTAAGTAATAATAATTATAATATCTGCTCTTATATAGCACTTTCAATTATCAGATCTCAAAGTGCTTTACAAAGGAGGTATAAATCCTACTCCTTCAACACAGTCTTTCGTTGACTGTAAAGTGGAAGGAATATGCACAATACAAGAACTAGCGTCACATACAGAAAGTATCAGGTATAAATTCTGGAGCCACTACTCAAGTTATATAGCATTAAATCATTAAGTCAGTCAATGGGACTACTTAAGTGTAAAGAAGGAATCAGGCTTTCAGACTTTTGCATACATTTTCCTGAGAACAAAAATAGGTGTAAAGAACATTAGATACTAAATTTACTAAGGAACATTTTAAATAGTGTTGTGTTAATATTCATTCTGGCCACTTATGCATTATGTAAAAAATAACCAGTAGTATGTTTTTGAAGTTATGTGTCTATAACTTAGGCGGAAAGGCAATTAATTGAATAAGAACTGAAATAGCAAAAGTTTTTTTACAGAGATATTAACTTTGCAGACCATAATTATTTTTACAAAAGTACAAGCTCACAGAGACCATACTGCAAAGTTTGCTCACAGCCAAGAATCACTGAAAAATTAAGTCTAGTGTTCATAATGGATTTGGAAATACAAACTTTTATTTGAATTTGACAAAACTCCTTGATTTGCCCTCTAACTTTTCTAAAATCTGTCCCTGGGTTTCCATGGCATATTTGCTGGAAGCCAGACTGCAAACGTAGTCATAGTCACTAAGATACTTTGATGGTTAGAAATACCTAGCTATGGTAGACAGACTGCAGAAAGTGTGGTTCCACATGATATGGTTTCTCTTGCTTTAACTTCTGTAAATTTTCTCAATAGGCTCCCTGACTCTGCCCTCTCCAATCCAATCACCATTTCATAAGTAAGGATCCAATTCTGTCACGGAGGTCACAGATTCCGTGACTCCAATGGACATCCATGACTTTGGCTTCAGCAGCGGAGCTAGAGTAGCTGTCAGCCCCAGCCCAGGAGCAGCAGCTCTGGGCGAGAGCAGCAGCCAGTGGTCAGCCCCCGACACTGGTCCCACTACAGATTCTTGGGGGACACCACTATTTACCTCTCTGCACTGTAAAAACTGGCCATTTATTTCTGCTGCTTGTTTCCTATCTTTTAACCAGTTACTGATCCACGGGAGGACCTTCCCTCTTATCCCATGACTGCCTATTTTGCTTAAGCCTTTGGTGAGGGACCTTGTCAAAGGCTTTCTGAAAGTCCCAATACACTATATCAACTGAATCGCCCTTGTCCATCTGTCTGTTGACCAGTGGTGCAAGTAGATTTTAACTCTTACCAGTACGGTACTGACCCCTCGACTCCCCCCACACACACACACAAAAATGTTCCGTGACTAGAGTCCTGCGTGGATACAAATTTATACCTGTGGATGTGGATATCCATGAATAGAAATTGCTATCTCCTGAACCACCGGGCTCTCCCAGGAACCTCAGTGGCAAAAGGAGCAGAACATGGAGCCACCACTCCCATGAGCCAACGCCCCACACGAGAAGCTCCTCCGCTGCAGCTGTACTGCCTCCAGCCCCACCCCCAGTCCTTCCACACAGCTGCGTCTCCTGTCTGGGGTCTGTACAGTCCCGCCAGAGGACAGCAGTGGGAGCGGAGATGGGGGCAGTACAGCCGCTGGTGTGGGGCACTGGCCCCTGGGAGCGGGGGCTCCACGTTCTGCTCTTTTTGCCACAGCGGTTCCCTGGAGAGCCCTGCAGTTCAGCGGATACCAATTTCTAGCCACGGATATCTGCATCTGCGGGTATAAATTTGTATCCGCGCAGGGCTCTACAATTCATTCTTGAAAATGCGTCTTTCCGGTATGGCGTACCGGCAATAAATGTTTTAATGGTATGGCGTACCTTCCCATAGGGGCTTAACTTGCACCACTGCTGTTGACCCACTCAAAGAATGCTCACTGATTTGAAAATTGATTTCTTAATTATTTGCTCCATTATCTTTCCGGGTACTGAAGTTAAGCTGTAAGATCTGTAATTCTCCGGGTTGTCTGTATTTAACCTTTTTATAGATTGGCGGTATATTTGCCCTTTTCCGGTCATCTGGAATCTCTCCTATCTTCCATGACTTTTCAAAGATAATCTCTAACGGCTCAGATATCTCCTCAGTCAGCTCCTTGAGTATTCTAGGATGTATTTCATCAGGCTCTGGTGACTTGAAGACATTTAACTTGTCACAGTAATTTTTAACTTGTTCTTTCCCTATTTTAGGGTCTGAACCAACCACATTTTCACTGGCATTCACTATGTTAGACGTCCAATCATTACTAGCCTTTTTGGTGAAAACTGAAACAATTATGTCAGAATCTGAGGTTTCATGTTAAAAAAAACAAAAGTTTTTGTCTTCAAAGCTGAAGGTAAAAAGCTTGACAATGTGAACTCAAAGGCAAATAAAAAAGAGCCCCAATTTATTACTTTAACATGTCATTGGCTTAAAATAATCTCATTATGTTTTGGAGGCCTGACTCATAATATTGAATGCTTTGGGTTAACAGTACTGTAGAACCTCATTCTCTTCTTTAAAAATATCAAAAAATATTAAAACTTGTAAGTGGAATATAAGTAGCTCATATTGGGTCAAATCCTGGCTGCATTTAAGTCAATGGGAGTTTTAATGTTGACTAGTGGGTGGAGGGATAGCTCAGTGGTTTGAGCATTATCCTGCTAAACCCAGGGTTGAAAGTTCAATCTTTGAGGGGGCCACTTAGGGATCTGGGGCAAAAATCAGTACTTGCTCCTGCTAATGAAGGCAGGGGGCTGGACTCAATGACCCCAGGGTCCCTTCCAGCTTGTGAGATAGGTATATCTCCATATATTTTTCAATGGGGCCACGATTTTTACCCATGATCTTTAATTATTTTTACCTCTCATCCTTTCCTGGTTTTTTTTAAATGTTTGTTTGATGTAGACTACGATTTTGAAGGGGGCGGCAGAGCCTCTTTTAAAATCTCTGTAAAAGGTCCTGCAGAATTATGGCACTGTATAAATACTTAATACATTAAATAATAAAATGATAAAATAATTGAGTTTTGAGCTAAATCAATATTCTAGTCAGAAAGGCTCGATGGTATTTCTTCCAGCTCTGTTAATTATTTCAGTGCTCACTGTACCCAGCTTGTCAAGCACCCACGTGGAAGACTTTTCAAATTCAGCAAAGATTATTGTTTCAATAGTAAAAGCATTAGCTGCTTGGATCAATATTTTCCTCCCAATTGTTAGCTTCATCTTTCTTGTCAACAAGCTTTATTTATATTTTCTGAAGAAAACAACAAGCCTAATGTTATCTTGCTTTTGGCACTAGAGCCATTGATTGGTCTTACCATTATTCTTCTGTACATCATTTGTGTTAATATAATCCTTGTCAGATCACTGCAAGAATGTGATACTATTTCCAATAAAGATAGGTAGAAAAGCAAGCTACATAATTCAGGTGATCAGTAGTTATGAACATTTGAAAAGCCACTGAGAATAAAAGTTTGAAAGCCATGAAAATATGAATTATGTGTTTTTCCTCTGAGATGTTTTACATTTTTACTCTATCAACATACACATTACAGTATTTAAATAATGTTTAGATTGTGCTACAAAGTGACAAATGCAAAGAAACTGAAGGCTAACTTTTCCTCTTGTATTGTGCAAATATTGAATTGGACATTGCAAACATTATTTATGTATTCACTGTACCTGGCGCTGGCTCACTGAAGCCATAGGACCAGCAGATAGTAAGGCTACTTTTATTTAGATTTCTAAACAATGGATTTAGGAGCCTAACTTTAGACACCAGGTTTTGAAAATGGAGGCTTATATATTTAAATCAATCTTTTGTTAAGGAAATATCTATAATTTCCAATAATCTATTATTGATTTTGAATAATATACTTCAAATAGACACAATTCCTTCCAAAGTCCCACAGTGCACAGGACAAGTATGCACACTGCACTATCATTTAGGATGGTGCAGCCTACTCCTCTGGCATTCTTGGCCAATGAGGAGGATTTTATGGGGTAGTCCTTTTCCTGCCCCATCACTGTCAGAGTAACTTTTACTTCCAAGGGGCACTAGAACTGTGCAACCTTTGTGTAGGACAATTAGCATCCTCCCCTTACACAAGGGAAAAAGAACCACTTTGGTTCCTTCCCACTGTTACCTGTGCTAGGTCCAGGGACAACATGGCTCTTGATGATTTAGAAATTTAAGCAGGGATTTGTTTCTTTATAAATATGTATATAGTAATATATAGTAAAATGTGCATATATATATTACACATGTGTATATACATACATATACACTTTTAAAAATACATCAGTTTACCTTTAAAGTCTTCCCTGCTTGAATCTGTGCTTAACTGAATTATCCTTTTTCAGAGACTTGTAGGCCATATCCATTAAGACAGTTTCAATAACTTTCCTCATAATTTATATTAAAATTTATCTATAGTTTTCTGATTTGTCTTCTGACTCTCTTAAAATAATTGAAATATATTTTCTCCTATTCGAAGTTTATGAATTTCTCCTGAATCTAAAGAACCATTTAAAACATCAGTGAAAAGCTCATTCATTTTCATTAAAATTTACAGAAGTTACCAGCACTTGGGACGTTACTTTCTTTAAGGGCGACTTATAAACAATTGTGCATCTTATGAACAATTCTTATAAATAACTGTGTTATTTGTACACTATATAATGTTGCTCCTTAACTACAGGTAAACTGAGTAATCTTCAACTTGGAGATTACCATGTGATGCCTGGGTAGAAAGGGTGGCAAAATAAGAATCACCCTGCAATTTCTTTATCTCTAAACAGAAGCTCTTCACAGGCATTTCGAAGTAGTCATTGGTTTATTTTATCTATTTAATCCTGT